CCATTTAATCATTGTTCCATGTCTGAAATTAAATGTTTATTGTAAATTTTGGAAACCTTAGTTCCTCCTATAAAATTATTGCTAGTGCTATGAAATGTTAATTTTTATTTGTTTGACAGAAAATGTGTCACACCAGATCAACTTTGTGACTATTAAGAGGTCACGATATATTTGCAGTGTCTCTGTACATATGCAGGAGAGCTTTTGGCATAAAAAAAAATTTTCACTTGGTAAATTTTGTGTTTGATACAAGTTTTCCTTCATCATCGCATTGCTTCATTATTTTAATTGTGTATTTCCCAGCAATTCAAGCTGATATGCTGAGCTGCTGAAGATAATGATCTGCTGCATATCATATCAAAGTTGGTGTGGGAGAGTAAAATGTCTCTTCCTGCTTCTCGTGATTTATAGTTTTGACTTAGCTGATGTCTAATCATTGAAGTATTTGTTTTTTCTAAAAAGCAATGTGCATTTTTTCACTTGATCATCCAAAATGAACACTTGGAAAACAGCAGATGTCATGTCTTAAGGCCTGCTTGGGTACAAAGAAAACACTCAACTTTCTCATGTCATGACAGGGAGACACACAAGTCCGTGTTGCATCTGAAGGTTACTCTTTGGTGGGGGATGGATGTAAACAGGACAGAAAGATACATGTGGTGTTTTCCCTCCCCCACCCTCCTCTGCTTTTTCCCCTTTTCTTCAGGCTTCTGCAGCTGAAAAACAAGGGTGAAGCATCAGCAGCGCTAAGGAGGGGGAAGGAAGGTACTGGAAGTTAGGAATAGCTGGAGAGTGGAACGCAGTTTCATCAGCATGCTCGGTCCTGGGGTTTTGCTCATTAGGATAAAGTGTCACACCTGAGCTGGCTTGGTGGGGCTTGTTTGGGGATGTTTTTTTTGTGCTATTCTGCATTAAATAGTCCTCCCATGCAGGTGGTTTTACCTGCAGCAGGTTAAGACATGCTGGCTCAGAAGTAGTAGAACCTCACGGACCAAAGGGTCTCAGAATGGTCAAGCACTGGACACTGTTGCCCGTTATGTATCCAAGTATCTGGACTTCCCATGGCTTGCACTGTTTTAACAACTCTTCCCCAGGTTGATGGGAAGTCTCCACAGTCCTGTTGGTGTATTAGCCTGACTCCTGAGCAGTCTGCTTAAGAAAAGAAAATGTTTTTGAGCATCCATGAACTCACCATCTTTAATGCAGGATTCTGCAGAACTGCAGACAATTCCTTGGATGCTGTATTTAAAAAACTCCGAACATGTCAAAGATGTGTTCAGGCTGCTTTCTTGGTATTTAGTTCATGTCAAATTTGAAGATAATCGTTGTCAGACGGTAAGGCTTCATAAACCTGCCTCTACAGTTAGTGCAAATCTTTGGTAAAACTACCTTTAAAAAGAAAATTATTGTATTTCCTTAGTGTAACAGACAAACAACACCACATACACAAGGAACACCATGACCTCATTGCATTTATGTGTAAGGAATTTAGCAGAAGATTTTAAATCATGTAGAATTTTGGACTTGAGGAAAGCCATGTGCTGGAAAGCCTGTCTATTTTATTATCTGTATCAAACAATCTCATAAAACTTGCTACCTCCTCATGCAGACATTGCCTGGCTTGTAGTCTTAGATCGTGGAAGCTACATGGAAGCCAAGGAATGATGTGTCACACATGATGGAAGTGAAGCATTGCTGAGGCTAACTTTTACAGATTCCTTGTTTGGTTGCCTCTGGTTTTAGCTTACATAAAGTAGGACTTTGAATAAAACATGCTGATGTTAATTACAATTTCAGATTTAGTTTAGGCATTCTAAAGTCTCAAGCTGAAAGAAGAATTCCTTCGTGGGAAAGGTTCTAGGTCTCCAAAATTTGGTGAGGCGACCTGAATAAATGATAGAGGGCTTTCAATGAAATAACAAGAAAATCGAGATTTTGCATATGTCAAAAGTCAAACCAGGATAAACTGTATTTGAACATTATTTTTGATGGATGCCAGCATTTTTCAAAAGTGCATCAAACTCTTGCACGAGTTGCACTTTCTGATTCTACTGCTGAAATGGGGCTCGTGCCCTGTGATTTTTACCATCTGAATAGTTTTGAAAGGATATGGTTCATATAGATAATCAACCCTAAAGGAATTTTGATTGCATTTTCAGTACTGTATTTCCTACCTGGAAAATTTAAATCCACAAATTTGACCTCCTTAGTCTACATAATTCTTTCTCTTTCAAGACCTTTTGCTTGAAGTATCAAACTACTTAGGTTTCCTTTGTATTTATGTGGGAGGCACTTTGAGAGTTCTTTTCAAAGCTGAAGAGATTAAATTAATTTAAGCTTCTAGGAAAAAATATGATAGTCCCTTCATAATTGTGAAACAGATTTTATATTATTGCTTAGAGGTAAATCCGTTCTCATTCCTGGAAATGAACACAAGCACAGAAGAATAAAATTGGAAAGGTTAAGGCACCAAGTGGTTTTCAGTTAGCAGAGGATATAAAAGGCAGTAAGAAGAGCCTCTGCATATATATTTTCTTTTTTCATTCTTCTGTCATGTCAATTACTTAACAGAGATTAAGGGCAAGCCATAAAAAATACAGAGAAACTATTAGTAGTGGCAACTTGGTGCGTTAGTTTTTATGAAGGTTAATTTGAGTGGATACTTACGTAAAGCATTTTAAGAAGCAGAGAGTTGCACAGGCAAGAGCAGACTAAAGAAGAATATTCAAGGTAAAGATCTCTGGTGACACTGATATATTTGCAAGCTTGCACTTTTGTGAAGTGCTTTGTAGAAAAAGATCAAAATTCAGAAAGACCTTGGAAAGGCTGTTTTAGAAAGATACCATCAACAAAATGATGTTCAGTTCAGATGACTTCAGAAGATGTAAAAAAAAAAAAGAAGTACAAGCTGTTTTTCCAGGATGTGTCTTGCCCACAGAGCACCTGCTAACAAAGGGAGATGAGAGTTTATTTCATTGTTCCTGTCAAAGGGCCCCGGTGGGATATCTGTGTTTAATAAGTACCTCACTAGGAAAAAATCTGGACTAACTGTATAGTGTCCAGAGAACAGTTGTGTACCGTGAGGTCAAGGATGGGAGTGGAGTGGAACACCTTACCTCAAGAGCTTGGATTTTGAGGGTGAAACACTGGAGGAGGTTGCATACAAGTGTTTTGGAATCTGCTTTGTTGGCTGTTTTGAGGATTAGGACAGTCAGGCAGGCATTTGTTTCATCAAAGAATGTTAAGAGCCTGCCTCAATGTTTGTATGGATTAGATAGTCTCTTGACTCTCTTCTGTTTCTGTGCTTATTTGAAATGATTACAGCTGTTTTTCCACTTGAATAATTTCACAAAAAACAACCCAGATGAAATTCTGTCAAGTTAATGCTATGTGGCAGTGCTTGTGTTTCCAAAACAAGCAAACAAACAAAAAAAATAACCCCCGGAGCAAGTGACAGCTGGAATGTGGGAAACCAAGATCTGAGATGTAAAAATCTGGATACGAAGGTTTTTCTTTTCCCAAAGTGAAGTGAAGGCCCCAGCTTGATCCATTAGTCATTAAATTGTTACTTTGCAAGTATGAATTGCTAGTACTCTGACACGTTAAGAGTGTTTCCTTATAAAATGCTCCTCTATGTATTTTCAGAAATTATCTGATAAACACCGCTAAAGCTTCCTAAATACTGCATGTGGCCGGTTTCAGTAAATAATGGGGAATGTGCTTTTTCAATTTGCGTAGAATCCTTGTCTGTCAATGTAACTCACCTGTGTAGCAAACAGAATGTCAGGTTTTGAGGCTGTAAGACAAGTAAAAGAAAGAGGGAGTGTTATCCCCTTGTTCCAGCTTCTAAACTGCGTATATGTGCAAAACTCCTAAACCTGAGTAAGATCTTTCCCTTCGGGCTTCAGTACTTCACTGTTTATCTCCGTGTTTTTCCATTTAGAAATTAGCTCATCTAGGTGTTTCCTGTTCACTTGCATGTTAGTGGGAAAACTAAAAACTAAGTGGCACGATATGGATGTTGCCACTTGTGTCAGAAGTGTGTGTCATACACCCTCTCCCACATGCAGAAAGGATGGCTAATACCGGGGCTGGGCTTGGAGAGTCCCTCTCCACTGTGCAGTCCGTGTCAGCTTTCTTTCATTGTCCAATATTTTTATTTCATGCTTATGATCTAGATTACTATACATTTTATTTAATTAATTTTTTTCTTAACACTTTTTTGAATATTCAATTCTACTTGGAAAAACCTGTTTTTAAGTAGCAAAGGGTGGTCTCTTAAGAACAGAAGTTTTTTGTTTTGTTAACTGTCTGACCAGAAAGCTACAGGTTGTGCTTTCTATTCTGGTTTCTTTAATTCTTTCCTTCATGGTAGCTAGGATTTGTCTACTCAGCTTTTATGTGAAGCTCTGGAGGAGAAAGTGCAGTCAGTGCTGAACCCCAGTGCAGGAGCTCAATCTTCTCTGACCTTAGAACTGCCTTCTCTGAATCTCCCTTCTCTGAATCTCCCTTCTTTGAAACCCCACTGCCCATGGTGTTTGGCTGAGGCTCAGAATGAATGTTAGCAGGAAAAGGAATAAAGATACTTGCCTGTGAGCACTTTGAAGTGGTTATAGATGTAAAAGGCTTTTTTCTCAATATATGATTTTTAAGACTGTTCCCTGTCTCCCTGGTTGTACTTGTATGGTGCAACCAGCCCTGTTGCATCCAGCGTGCTCCACAGGTGGTTGTGCTGGCCCTGGCGAGCAGGTGGCACCACGAGGAAGTTGAAAGTTGAGGGATGCTTGAGTTGGCAAGGGCCAGAGGAGCGGTGTTCATCCTTTTGCCTTCTGTTCACTTCATGAGGGTTAACATCTTCCAGCACTTTCTGTGCTTTGCTGTTCAATTACTGCAAAAAGCGAATTTTAAAGACCAGGAAACTTAAAGATTTAAGGATCCTATCGGCTGTTAGGCCAAATGAATATGTGATTTTTTTTAATCTATTCTTTTTTATTATTTAGGTTTTTCATTTGCTGCAGTCATACTTAGAATCAAAGCAGTTCGTTAGTTTGGACTTCCAGCAGGGACTGACCGACATCATTACCTGTTTGGGGACCAAACTGTGGCTGGCTAAAAGGTAAGATAAAACAAAAAATATCTGTGATTTATTCACATATTTTACTAACATATGAAAGGCTTGGCTGATTTTTTTTTTTTTTTAAGCAAGATGGAAACATTTACTTCTCTAGAAATATGTAAAAGTTAGATACCTTTACTGGCTTGCTGATTTTTAATCAAGATGATTTTTATCTAAGAAGTAAAGATGAAAACATTGTAGTCCAGTCATTAAAGAAAAAAACCCCTGTGAATGAAAATTCCTACAGAAGCAGACACTTTGAGGATAATTGTTGCTTCTTGGCTAAGAAAAATATGCCACATGTACAAGGTTTTTATGTTCCTATTTTTCTGACTTTGACCTTTCAAAAAAATTAGTAGGAAAATATCATAGCAATTGTTTAAACTATCAAAAGGATTTAACTGTCCACAAACAATCCAAGATAGTTTTGGAAACATTTTTTCCTAAGTTCATCTATCTTGAGGTGACCTCAAGAGATCTTTCTCTCTTTTTCTTTTGAAAATCTACTTAATCTCATCAATTGCTTTTGAGAATTCCTACCCATGAGAATTGCCACCCAAAACTTGAGAGGAATCTGTTGTGGACGAAGAACACAAGTCCTTGCATAGATAGATAACTGGGAATATTCTACATTTTGCACTGTGGAGTGAGGTCACCAGTACAACCTGGCGTGGGTCTCTGATAAAATCCCGTATCTCTTTGTGATCATCAAAACCAACATCATAAGTGGTTTGGAGAAAGGGGCTGTCTAGTGGGTAGAGAAGTCTTCTGTCTGTGTTACCTGACTTCGGGTAATCAAGATAGAGTCAAACTCTGAGAATTGCACAAGTGGGAGAGTGATGATAGGGCACATGAAACTTGCTGTAAATAATTGTGAATTGATACTCATGAACAAAACAGTCTAGACTTTACCTGGGGAAAGGGGGCTTGACTGAGCAGATTTTTTTGTCTCTAAAAAATCACTCTGGTTCTTGGTAAAGCCCAAGAGGGGAGAAAACATACCTATGTTTATCTGTTAATCTGTGTTGTATATTTAAATATTGTGTAAATCACAAAGAAGGTACAATAGGAATCAGAATCAGTATAAAGACTGACAGCAAGTATTGAACAGTGTCTACCTGGGGAGTGATTACATAGCCTGAGATTTATTTTTTTTTATCCTGAAAAATGAACAATTAAGAGATGACATGGAAAAAATTAATTCTATGAGTCACATAAAAAAAGGACAGGAAATTATCATCCCTTCCAAGATGGCAGAGGTAAAAGAAACAAAATAATGATATTTTTAATGTAATTTTAATTTAGCTATGGAACTCCATGATATAAGATAGTCTTGGTTTTGAACCTGTCTGAATTTTTAACCAATGATTTAACAAAGTCATGCAAGAAAAGTCCAGTGAGGTTACTGGGTATGTAGACATCACAGTTGGCTCAAGAAATTTATCAGTAACCTTAAAGATTGAGACAGAGATTTTGGAAAGTGTCACTGTTTTTATGATTTCCTTTCCTGTGCATCTCCTTTCTGCCTGATTAGAGATGTCACAGGGGATTTGATGGACCTGTTGACTTGATTCAGCATATAAGCATGTTTAAGTCTTTAAATAAGAATGTTAATTTATGTAACTAAATTAAGTCCATTGATACTGTCAAAAAGAGAAAAAAACCCAAACACTGGAAACCAAATTTAGCAGAAAGATGCTCATGCTTCATAATTCAAACTTCCTTATCTTGCAGCAAATATGTAAGGACCAGGCTCTGTTCACTACAGATTTTAAATAAATTCTAGGTTTTCAAAGTATTTTTTCAGAACTGCCCCTTTTAGTACATCAGTGATATAAGTACTAACTCTTTGGTTGTTTTTCTAGTGACTTTTTTTTTAATTATCATTATTATTTTATTATTTTTATCATCTCTGGAAAGGAAACATTTTCATGTTATCTCTAAGAAATTCTGGTGCATGGTATAGGTATTTTCCTTATGTGATTTATTTTCTCTTTCTCTTGCTTATAAAAGCCACAGCTGTATATGTAATATTAACCCCCTTTCTAGCACATTTTTGTCAGTTTGTTGTAGTCTCTTTTTCATAGTCTTGGAATCTCCATTATTGCAGTTAATACTATACACAGAGTTTTTTTAAATTGTCTTTCTCCCCAGATAGTAAATTTTTTTATTATGAGGATACAGGCTTGCAACACTAACTTAAAGGAATGGGTTTTTTAAATTTGCAAAAATAAGTTTCTGTCTGTTAATGTACATTATCATTCTTACTGAGTCTGTACAGCCTTAGGTCTTTAGGCACACTTGGAGCTAAGGTGTGTTTTCTTTTTCTTTCTTTGTTTTGTTTATTTGTCTTAACTCTAAAAAAAGCAAGTAAAATATCCAGGAGATATTTGGTAACCAGATTTGCTTCCACATGAGTTTTAAACTTAAGACAACAGAAAATGTGCTCACCTCTTAACTTTCTGCTTGAGATAAATGTATTCAGTGTGGCGTAATTTAAAAAAAAAAACAAACAAAAACCAAGCAACCAAACCAAAAAAAGCTACTGGAATAGGTGGTATTTCTGGTAGTTTCAGTCTCCCACATTCAGTGTGCAGCTTTACTGTTTGTAGTTGGCTGGGTGGAGGTGAACAACTGTTCTGTGATAAACGGTGGGGTTTGAGGGTTTTGTTGTTGGCTTCTCTTTTTCTGGTTTTAAAGGAGTATTAGGAGGTTACTTGGCAACTGAGTTTTGAAACTGAGTAAGGCCGTCTGTGTGGGTTTCTGGATGTTAGGAGAGAGTATGTTGTTTAACTTCTTGCTGTGTTCCTGCTGCAGGTCACAGTCAGAGAGGGTGATGACTGGCTGGGCCCTCGGTCCATGTACAGTCATTCTTACCTTCTTTCTGTTCAGGCAACGAGAGTGAGCACAATAGAGAAAAAAGAATGGGTCTCCATCTGCCTTTTCTGCCTTTTGTCATAAGGAGATAATTTCACATGTTGCCGATACTGCAGTGCACTGACTGAAAATAGGGTATTAGAGGCACTGACTGTTAATCTTAAATGAGTCAAAAACCAGTTAAAATTTAACAGGAAAATGGTTCACAAGTTTGGAGAAGTGGGAAATTATTTCCAAACATCAATTTTCAATTACATTTCTGTGCTAGTTCTGAAAGTTCTTGCTGGTGTTCTTTCAACTATATACTTCCTTTGTACTATGGAGCAAACTTCTCTGAGAATCTTAAATTACAAAATTTTGGATTGAATATGTAGTTCTTAAAAATGAAGCTCAGTTGTCAAGTGTGTATCTGTAGGAAAGACCATTATTCTTCAGTGGTTTCCTGAACTGGGTGGGTTTTTTTCTGTGTTTGGGTTTTGGTTTGGGGGTTCTTTTGCTTTTTTAATGCCAGAATGTAATTTCCTTTCATCAGAATGTATTGGTGTAGAATAACTCAAGAAGCTATTGTACATTCCCTGCTAATATAGTAATCTCTTCTTCCTTCCCCACTCCAAGACCTGATTTTCCTTCAGAGAATAAAATAATGGGTCACATTCCCCAAACTGCATTTCATAAAGCATTTACTTTTTCAACTAGTATTTTCAGTCTGTTATGAAGGCAGACTTCTCATACTAATGGCACGTGGTTGCTTTTTCTCCTCAGCTTTTTTTTACATTTTCAAAACATTATATTTTTTGTGTATTCAGAAACAGTATTTCCATTTTTGATGTTTTGGTGAATAAGACCTGCCTTCATTTCTCAAGGTGATGCTTGAATCTTTTCCTTTTATTTGCAGGTTTATAGTTCATTTAGTGTTTTTTATTTTGTTTTGGAGTAAACCTGTTTGTTAGTTTAAATTGGTATAATAATGTTACTGCTTTCCTCCACCCTCACACCAATGTTAGTTCACTGCATTTTTTACTCACATGGGAGGTGCAGGGAGTGTTGAGAAAAATAGAAATTTTAAAAATATATAAAATCTTCTTTGTTGGAGAATGGAGATGATGGAATGAAGTGATGGAAATTAGTCTGGTGAAAACTTAAAAAAAATAATCAATTTATCAACCTAAACCTTTGAAAGAGTTCAAAGCCCTGGCATATGAATTTGGAAAAAAAAATTAGTTTTTAGCTCAACTGCATACAAGACTAACTGTTACAAGACTAACTCTAGATGCCTTCTGCTTCATAAATACAGAAAGCTAAAAAAGCAACCTTTGGATCTGGTAATTGGTTGTACAGAAGTCCCAGAAATATCTCTCTTGTTTCATTTGTAGCCTTTGGCATGGCAAAGTATTGGTATTGGAAAATTTGTGTAATCATGTCATTGCACAGCTTTGCTGTAGGATGCTGCTTTCCAGTACTTTGAGTTTGATTTTTTTTTTTTTTCTCTGCCCTCCTCCTTACCACAGGAGGGGGAAAAGTCTTTGAGGTTGTGCCAGAAGTCAAATAACACAACTCTGCTAACCTCCAGCCATGTGCCATTCCTTAGCTGAGAGCCTGTCTGCACTGGGAAAGTTTACTTCTAAGAAGGCTGCTTTCTTGAAACTAACTTGTGTGGAACAGCCTTGTATAAAACCAGCTGGCTTTGCGTTTTTCAAAGAGTCCCTGGTTCGTGTGGAGTGGGCTGCCTGCCATGTGTGCACTTAGGTTCATGACCCAAGTAACCCGTGCTCTGCACTGCTGCTCCTTATGGCTCTCTGTGGATGGGACTGTTCAAATACAAATAGGTCCTGGTGGAGGGGCACGAGATTTGACCTCACGCAATAAATACATGCAAAAGTTGTTTTGGGCTCAAGCTCAAAACCAGATTCATTGTGCACTGAGATATGTGCTGATCAGTTTTCTCCAGGCTGACTCTAGGATGATTTAGCTATGACTGCTTTAAATGAGGGAAATCCCACCAGTATTTAGGAACACTGCAGAGTATGGTAACTTGCCAAGTTGACGACCATGGCACTCCTCCCTTCTGCCCCTCCGCTTTTGGCTGTACTGTGTGAGTGACAACAGGCAGATGACCTTTCTAG